ATCCAGCGCTTTGGGATCCACTCCTCAGGTTCGGGAAATACTTCTTTGTCCCGGTGTAGTGTATACGCCAGTGATGCGATCCTCACGTCGCCAGGGATATAATATCCTCCTATGCTACATCCGCGTTGAGGTGTCTGGCGTGGTTGAGGTCCTGGAATAGGCGCGTGGAGACGCAGCGTCTCCGTGACAATAGCGTGTAAGAGCGGCAAGGAATCGACCTCTTTAGGATCTGGCAAAGCCGACGTGTTCGTAAGACCAGATGCAGCTTTCGGGTTGATCCTCAAAGCCGGCTTAAGAGATTGGACCTCAGCATGAAGCTGTCGTTGAAGTTCTGGAGATTTTGAAATATGCCATGTTGCATAAGTGAGGGCAATTCCAGCCGTCTCCTGTCCAGCCAGCGAATGATCCATAACCTCAGACGCAATGGCTCGATCTCGTTGAAGAATGCTCGTACTGTATAGAATGCTCTTTTCTCCATTGGTATTGAACTCGCGATCTATCCCAGCAAGCAGTGAGTTGTAGACTACCGGCTCGTCAGAGCGTTGAATGTCTTGACTGTTACTGAGGCTTCTTGTCGCCTTGGGCGTCTTCCGGACATTCTCGCAGAGTTCCCAGTTCCAATCGGAGAGTTTCTTGTTGGACTGATCAACCCATTGTGGATAGAGCTTGAGCCAAGGAATCCATCTTTTGCAAAAGTTTGTCAACTTTGGAACTTCTTGCGTCCAGAAAGGGTAGTTGGCCCGTGCAAGATACATGTCCTGCCAGTCACGGCGATAAGGCTCATCGGCAATGAAGTTTGTAGCGTTAGAGAGACCAAATATGTAGGCAGTGATAAGATCCATGGCCGTTGCTAGATATAGACCGAACACTTCAACGTCATTGTAGTCTGTAGACATCGACTTGCGGGAAGGTTTAAGAGACCCGTCAAGTGCAGGCAAGAGGCGGTTCACGAGAATCTCGGCCATTTGCAATTTGCTCGCTTGAGATGACTGTATGTACGATTTGGAGTAGACGTTCGAAATCATCCTCTTTCTTAGAGAGTGAGGCTTTGAATTGCCAGTGGCAAACATGTTTGGGACTCTACAGGTGGCCATATTAGTTTCATTGCCGACAGTCCAGTACCATAAGTTGCCATTCTTACCCATAATTATCAAAGACGCTATACCAGTGACCTTTTTCAAAACCTCCTTGATATATGGTTCGCATGCCTTCTAAACCGTCAACGCTCACTTCATCTGGACCAATTCTAATAACAGGACCAAGCCGTTGGTGTGCACGATACAGTGATGTATTCTCTCGCCTCCGCTTCCTTGCTGCTAATATCCAGAGAGAGCTGATATGGCATGTCCAGTGCGGTGTGGGTATACGAGACAGCGCGGAGAAAAAGACAGGATAGATGATGTATCTGTACACCAGCAAAACAGGCAGCAAGCCCAGAGCAGTAATCAAGATAAGGCCCATGATGTTTTTCTTTCGATGGTGACGATGAACAAGCGTAGATATGAGAGTCAGTGCAAAAGATGTCGAGGATTATTAAAATGTGAGGGGTCTATGTCATGTGGCAGGTGGTGCAAATAGAGTTGGCAAGTATTCCCGGCGCGGGGTTTGATAAGAGTCAAGACCTCGGGAGATAGGAAGCAGTCCATATCAATACAACTTGAAAAGCGCCACGGTCCACCCCAGACTGTTTGTGTATTGGCACAATGGAGCCTGATCACGAGTGTTTGTGTATATACAGATATGAGCATCAAGCCAATAAATACCTACCTGGGGAGGAAAGGAAACTTAGGACCTTGGCCCTAAATGATAAAAAGACTTAGGTAAATTAGCATGAATTTAGGATATCTTTTACTGAGTTTATTTTGATATCCCATATTAAAGTCCGATGGTTTTTGCAGGTAAGGGGCTTTGACTTTACCCACCTAGGTAGGCTCTGTATAACAACAAGCTTGAGCAGGTAGGTCAACGTGGGCCGTGAAGCAAATAATGTGCTTTTATGATAACTTAATCAGTAAGCTTATTTGACAGTGAATCGTACTGAACCTCGAATATAAGGCAGTATGAGGTTTAGATTGTAGTCATACGGTTGTTTGTGCCTACCTCACTCTCCTCTTTTCTTTCCTTCTCACCAAGTTTCCCGTCAACACCATACTAACTGGAAGGCAAGAACCGCCGACCTCAATTCCAACCATAACCCATCAAAAATTCCTTCATAAAGTTTCCTTTACAACACATCAATCTGTCGAATTTGACTCACACTTCAAGGGTTCCAAGTCGCGTATATCGAGACCATGGCTACACGTCGGCCTAGCCCCCCTGGCGCCACGAAAGAGAGTTTACAAGGAAGGATATTTTCCCAATTCTACAACATCGCCAGCAGTTCTGGAAAGCCCCTCTCGTGGAAAGCACAACGTCGCTATCTGGTCAATTGATCAAGACATTGAAGTCGATACTGAGGAATTGGGGAAATTGGAAGGAAAGCTACACGCAAATCAAGGCGACAAGGTTCGAATCAGGACACGAGTCGAACAGCGCGAGCACAGGATTTCCATCTTGACTGATGAGAAGAATAGAAAAGCCAAGTTCTCTGAGTCTGGTAAGCAAGTGCTGGGCAGAGTGTTCGCAGCATCTGGATACCTTTGATTGATGTCGAAGAATCCAGACATGGATCGAACCTCCTACCCTCAAAAGAGGTTTGGATCCAGTAATATCATAATCGCAAGGCACATCCAAAGGACATGTACGACACATACCTCTGAGCTCTGTCTGCCGATTTAAGCTCTCAGCCACAAGGAGCAATCGCGGAAATTGATGCCAGACGATTCTTCTCTGCCGCACAATACATCTAATATCTGGAAGGTGGGTATCACAACGGGACCAACTGTGGGCAAGTCCAACTATTTCCGGACGCAGGTATCGATTGCATAATCTAAATACCTCAAGCTGGGCCGCTCAAACGAGCATTCATTTAAGTCGGACGACTTTCTGACTAATGGTGGTATACAAAAACTTGTTGCCAAAGGCGACTCTGGTTCTGTTGTCTTTGACGAAGAGTGAGGTATCATCGGCTTGTTTTTTTTTAAGGACATCGATTCGAAAATTCCTACGACAAATGATGGAGATATGTCACACCAATTGAATATGTATATAGGGATGTGAAGGAATTTTCAAAGCATACTATCACCGATATTTGGATAGCGAAGGAACAGGAATCGCTGCAGAATTGCTAGTTGTACTAGACAGGCCACTTAAATAAGAAAGCAGGGTACTATATGTTTAGACTCAAGCTTGCGACGGGATGTGAATAGGTATACGTTCTTTAGTTTAAGTGACCCATGGGGTGTTTATTTCATGCCGCAAATAATACTCCTGAGAGGATTTAATATCTTAAATCGCACCCCCAATCATACACAAGACACCTACCTATTTAGGGAAGTCAAGGTGGACTGAGATATCCCTTTTTGAGGTATGAATGGAAGGGGCAAGGAGCGATGTATTTTAGGCATCAGGCAGGCCGCCAGGGTGACCTACATCTCTTTGACTCTCTCCTCTCTCCTCTTCTCTTCTTCATCATCATCACTCTTGACAAAACCAACATCAGCCTTATAACTTTTCAGGGATCATCATTCCATTTCCAATTGTTCTTACTCGTCATAAATCAGATCTTCAAGCTTCCAAAACCCAACATGAACCAGTCGCCGAACGCCCCCAATATCGGTTCTCTCCTGGTGTACAGAAGACCCATCATCAATCTCCCCCCGAATTTCCAAAGCTTAGTTTACGATGGCCGTGAAAAATCTCCGATGGAGAAGTCCGAGATTCTTCCATGGACAAAATTCACGTTTGAAAACATCACGAATGCATACGGCGATATTCTAGAACAGGCCACAAACAGCAACCGACCGGATGAGGTGCTAGAGTTCGACTGCGAGAACCATTCCATGATGGTACAGATATTTTACGAGGCGTTCCTCAAAGAAACCGCAATTAGTTTGGCCATCAGCTTGGGCAAACTCAGTATCAGTCCCAGGTTTTCCTGGTTCCGCGGCACAGATATGTATCTGGCATTTGCTGAAGCGAGAGAAATGAAAGAGAAACTCCCTAAGCGCGCTCACCAGTTCGATTTAGGCGACGAGGATCGCTTTCATGTCTTGTACGACGCAAACGAAGAAATCCGTAATCCCTTTCTTGCTACCGTCATCGTTGTACCCTCATGCACCTGGGAGCCAGACTCCCTTGTCACGGCAAATCGTGACAGAAAACCCGAGCTTGGTCCTATCGAACAACTGGCTGCCTGTGCCAAAAAAACCAACACTTGTCTCTCGCTCATCTTGGGGGACAAGGATATTGTCGTCCTGCAATTCTTCAAGACCGAAGCTGGGAGGATGGGGGTGTACTAGAAGGCCATTCCATGCAGCACAGAGGGGGGGAATATATTGACAGCTAATTTGGCCATATGGGCTCTGATCATGATGAGTCTGAAGACTGAACTGAATTCTCTCTCGTACAAAGACTCTATAACTCCTCTCGATTCTTGGGGGGGATCGTTCGGGTCAAGGTTGGCGGGAGCTTGTATCAACCCATACTCCTATCGCGTATTATCTGGGCGAGCGCTGAGTGCCCGAGGGATTGATCCGCACCCCCCTTACTAGTTCAGACAGTCTATCACATCAAAAAGAAGAGCGCTTGGGTGGATGAACGTAATGGAGAAAGTTTCCATAGCATGATAGTCAGTCAATTCGTTACGTCTGTACTTAGTACAAGGGAAGCGTCATAAAATACAGCGTTCCAACCTTTTACTCTTCCTTCGTCAGTTCTTAGCTCTCAAGTTTCTGATCAATAACAAGCACTATTTCCTCGTGATTAAGTCTGGTATGTGTCTTAGAATAATAACTAGGTTGCCTTACAAATCACTTTTTAGCGTGACACGCTTGAAACCTGATATTGCCGCTAATGCCTTCTCCTCTGATGGAGAATCAGCTTCCAGAAATGTTCATCCCTTACAAAACATTCACGTATCGCCACAAAAAGCTCATACCACTCACCAGGCCCGTGAGGCCGGTGTACAAAATCAGAATGCCATATCCACTTCCATAACCCCCAATAACCTTTCCCTGCCATGGTTGACCTCGAATAAGAGAACCGCTCAAGGGTCCGGAGATGATGTTTCCAACTCCTCTGCCCACGCAGAGGTGTCCATGCACCATGACAGGGTCAACGTGCTCGTTTTCATCCTGAAACTTTTGTGTCACTTCTCTCATAATTCCTGGCCAGATCGAGGCCCAAGATCCTGCGAAGAGGCCGTACATGACGCAGAAAACATACAGGATAGGGAGAGATGCTGTAAGTCCCCAGACAAGTAGGACTGAAATACCCACGCCTACCGCAGATATGAGCATACATGTCGTAACTGCAAGCTTATCGCTGAGAGATCCCATGACCATCAGACCAATCGTCGTAGCGACATTGACCAGAATAACCGTCAAAGCTGAGAGGATCGTTGAGGTACCAAAGGTTGTTCGAGCATAAGTGGGAAGGTAGATTGTAGGGAGGAAGTAGCCTGTTGCTTCAACGACGTTGACAAGTTGATACAGAAGAAACACCCTGGATGTGACGAACCGCATATTCAGAGGCTTTCTGTGGATAGTGGCCGATAATGGTAGCCTAGGCTTGATGAAGTATGCAATTGGAGCTGCACTTCCAAATAAGATGCCCGCACATATTCTGACAGTAGTTTGGAAGCCAAAGTTCTTGAGGAGCGTCTCCAGAACCAGAGGAAGAACGGCACCTCCAGCTCCAGCAGCACTCCAGACAATTCCATAAGCAAAGCCCTTACGACGAACGAACCACTCGTCGATATAGAGAGTACAAGGACAGTAAGCGAAGCAGCCTCCGATCCCAAAGAGCACTCCTTGTGTTGCGATAAGTTGAGGAACAGTGATGCAAAAGGAACTCATAACCATGGCTAGAGACGTTACAAAGAGACCAGCGTAGGTGAACCAGCGAGCTTGGCGGGGGTAGAAGCGGCATATAATGACCACGAATGGTGCTCCGAGATACAACATGCCCTGGATAATGTCAGAGTTGGGAAGGGTAGCTTTGCAAGTATCTTACAGTTGTTGTGGTTCCAATGGCAGCGATACTGTTCGAGCCCGCGAAAGGCTCATGATGACTGTAGTACTCTTGAAAGACGCCGAATGAGAACCCAAAACCTGATTTCTTTGTTAAACCATGTTCGTGGACCCTAAAGATGAGGGAGATTACCAAAAGTCACAGCTTCAACGACCCAACAGGCTGCTAAGAATAGATATGCCTTTCTTCCACCATCAACAGGAGGCAGCGAGAACTCGGCATCTGTTGCTCGCGACTCGAAGCGTTGATCCAGGTTCTGTAAATGGACTGCGTCATCTGACACATTTCGATTGGGAGTAACGAGCTCAAGCGAGGTCTGTGACATTGAACAGTAGATTCCTTAAGTTGCTTGTGCAGTGAGATGAAGGGAACTAAATGCAATGTTCGGAGAGAGTATTCGATATTTATACAACAACCAGCAGAGTGCGCCTTCTATCAAACGTTGCACTGCGCCTTTCGAACCTTGATAGTGCTCATTGAGTTATCTTGATTCGTTTTCTGTTTTTATTGTTCTTGTAGGGCGCAGGTTGCAGGCGACATCGGACGTGGGAAAAGATGGCTGACACCAAACGATACATCGGCTGCAATATCCGGTCGTGGTTTATCAATCCAAGTCACATGGATAAGCAGAATACGACCATTCCAGAGTTTGAGCTAATGCAAAGGGCTCAGGCTACTAATTTATAGGAAGGCGCTAACGTAATATCCTTATAAAGTAGTCAAATTCGATGGTCAAATAGTTTCTAATTTGATAACGACTGCAAGATTCTGTGGCCAATCCCGCCGAAGGTCTGTCCTAGGTTTGAAGTGGCTAAAGTTGATATTTCTGAGAGTGCAATGCCATATTAAGATTATCGGGACCAGTATGATATTTTGTCTTGTGTAAATCGAATTGAAAATCTTGAAGCTTCTAGGATTCTATAAAATATGCCATATAGCCCAACACGTAGAACGTCAAACCACAAACTCGTAAAATGCACTTATAATTCAGGACTCGGCTTTGTGACAAGGTTGAGGGGCCAAAAGAGGCTCCAGCCTCAAGCATACCCTTGCTATTGCTGCGGGTGTTGCTGCTGCCCAACCAAAGCTGAACTACTCTCCATTCTGTAACCTTCATAGACCTTGCTTTGATTCTTCTGCTTCTTTCTGAGGCCCAAATAAGGAAAGAAGAAGCAGGGATGGAGGATAGTCACAGCACCGATGGAAATCAACATCATGGTTGCGTCGAAGACGATGAATAGTGTTTCGTTTCGGAGAACATCTACCCCAATATCTGGGACAGTTTCCGCGATACTAAGTACTAATTAGCCAGGGTAGGCAAATGATTGTCAATAGAATCTTACCGGTAGGCACATCGGATGATGATGCAGGTATAAGCAATACCCAGAGCATAGACAAACCACTTGACTCTTTTTGCCTCCTTTAGCGTGGCCTCCTCTCGAGCAACAGGAACTCCCCCACGAGTTGGCATGCCGGTTGTGTACATATCAGCCGCGTTTCCCATCAACGGGTCTCGATGTTTTATTGCCTGCTTTCGTCGTCGAGCGTAGAGAAGCATCAGACCGCCACAGCACAACATGTTGGCAACTTGAAAGGCAACACCTCCAATGACAAGCGCTTCTCCAAGTTTCTGCGTCGTCTCAGATCCCTTGCCCATACTTTGCATAGCTGTGAGGCCACCTCCGATAATTTGGACGAAAATCGAGATAAAGTCTGTACCGACAAAGACGAGGGGATATAGCCTGGGCTTGAGAAGAGACCATTTTGCTCCGTACCAAACAACCAGATGCTTGAACGTCACTGATATAGCAGCAGCAACTAGAGTAGGAGCCAATAAGAGCGTTAAGTACTGCACGATAAAGACATTCTGCTGCCATGGATTTCTTCCCAGTCCAAAGCGTCCAACATGGCCCGCGACTTCAAAGACGGTTCCGATGCCCAGCCATATCATGTATGACCATGTTTTAGCCCGGAACCCCTGGAATATTTGTGCGAGGAATAGGAGTGCAAAAGCGATCGCGAAGAATCCTGAAGCTGGTTCGGAGAGATAGTCTTGGTAGATGGTGTATTCGACGGGACAACGATCCGTGACTTTATCGCAGTTGTCGTAGTTTGGTGTCCATGTTTCGTTTTTATCACCCATTGTTGTGTAGTTTTAGATCAAGTATTTGTGAGTAGCTAGAGATGGGTTGGAAGATACTAAGAGCCAGGAGGACGGGGGCTTATATATGAGTAAGACGACATCAAGACACTCACCAAGCACATATCTTCGTAATCAATAGGATTGTGTGACAACCAATCTGCAAGACACGGCCACTAAGGCGTTCTCCCAGCCACTCCGTCGTAGCTCGCAGATACAACCGAATTCGTTTAGATATGGGGGATTGACAGATAACTGGCCAACAAGCACCTATCAAATCACATTCCACGTGTACGAGCCCCATCTTGTCGTCAGCTTCGGGGAAATAATGCGCTGGGATTTGCATAAAGATAAGCATAAGCGCTTAGTGGGAGGATGTACTTGAAATTTCAGCCTTAAGCACAGCCCTCTTACATCCATACAGAGCTGAGCTGTCGTAGATCCTTGCAGCGCCGTATGACCCCCTTTTGGGCAATAATACGAGCTTTGGGTGATATTTAAATTACATTTGGTTTAAAATGCGATCGGGTTCAAAAGAACCTGAAAAACATGGGCATTTTTAAATTCCGCACTTGAAGTCTGAACTGGCATGAACCGCAGCCAAGATCAGAGAGCTACCTGAATATTTCATTATTCTCTCGTAAACTTCATTAGTTCAGTCCATGGAATGTTTTTTCTTTTTCTTTTTTTTTTTTTTTTTTTTTTTTCATGTGCCAAAATAATAAAATAAAATAATGGATGTGGATCTACTCAAGTACCTACTACAAAAAGTGCAGTCCTGCAAACAAACTCTAGTTGCGAATATCTTCAATTACCTCATGATCAAATACTCAAAGATTCTTGGCATTCAACCTCTAAAGAAGACCATTACGGGAGCAGTTTCTTGGACCTTTTACCCAAGATACGCCATGATTAAAGCCCAGGCACCGCCAATTTCCAGTGGCAGTGCAAAGGGAATTAGTGACGAGGGCCAAGGCCAAAAGATGGAGTTTCAACCCTTGGCCTAGCGTCATGTTGGATCAACATCCCCTGGCAAGCCAAGACCACAGCCATAAAGCATTAGATTACGCGGCGGCGCCCAAAAAAACCACCTGATCCTTCTCATCTGCAGCTTACCTACACATCCATACCGGTTCAGCGATGTCGAGTCCAATATGTCCTATGCCACTCGGCGAAATCGTCAGGGATATGCTGGGGAGAGAGAAGGAGACGAATCCCGTTAAGAGACTTTACGATGATACTTTTAAAGCGGATATCGGGAGGTGGATAGCTTCGTGTGCGGTCATTGGGCTTTCGGCCGGGATAATATCTAAACATCCGGGACATAATTTGCTTGCTGCATCAGCGTACAATCTTGCAGTCGTAGGTTCACTCACCTGTATACATATAAAAGCCTGCTGACCAAACTCAGGGAGCTCTTCATTTCTTTGCTTTCAAGATACCAGTCAAGCCACGAGGACGCAACAACCCAAGACCGCCAATATGGTATATTTTGATTCTGGCCCTTTCAACTTCAATGTGGCTTGCTGCTCTCACTGTCATATTTGTTCTTCGGGAAGATATAGATGCGTACAATGAGTCAAATCTCGACAAGCGGAGGACGGGCTTTGTTGGTGATATATCTACTGGAACAGTAGCAATGCTTGACAACCTAAGCATTGCTTGTGGCTGTTTTGGCATTTGTGCATTGTAAGTGGCCCCCTGACTGGCCTTCAGCTTTGGTTTAACATTTTATAGTCTATTTTGTGTATACCAGTGGTTTATTGTTCATTATCTTTACTCGACAAGATTCAAGAAGACTGAAATGCGAGAGGGATATAGAAAGATCAACAAGAGCGAACCTCCCAAGGATGGCCCATCAACAACTGTTGTTTAGAATTGATACCCGATACCCAAACATTTACTAGCCAGATTAAGTATTTTAAATATAGAATACTTGACTTCTGCTTGCGAATATCGATAGGAAGTTGCCACAAGGCCTGCGTCTGACTTGATTTCCAGTCACTCCGACTTTGTGTCATTTGCAGTGATTTTAGAGACTACAGCCAAGTGTCTCCGGTTTGCTATCTTGTCTAAAAGTTTAAATTTGAATGCAATGCCACTCAGTGCTTTGTTGCTTGCAAGCATTATATTCTAGCCAAGATCGATTGGCAGAGCCACAAAGAACTAGGTTACTAACCAACAAGAACCCGGAAATGAACTATCTACATTATTTCACAAGAAAAAAAACCCCTGTAATAATTAACTGTCCATCTTGTGAACTGTGGCGATGAGGAGGCCGGCCGGCCGGCAGGCCTCTGTTGGTGGCTTCACGAGACTTACGGCCAATCAATGACCGCAGAACAATTATCAACCAAGTTTTCTGTTCTTGGGAGAGCCTTGTCGCTGCGTTATATGGATGGTATCGTATGGTTACTGCCACTTCTGCCTGATGCTTGTTGGTCCATTTGGTGGATGGACAGAAACTGGAACAAAGGAGATAGGCCTCCAGACATGCAAGATGACAGACACTCTTGTTGAAGGTATAAATAACAATTGCTTTTGGGAGGAAATTATTCTCACTTCTTCTTCAACTGTTAGTATTCAGTAGCAAATGTCCAGCCTCCAACATGTCCTCCGACGCTGACACTTCAAGCTCTAGCCCTAGCGAACGTGCTATTTTTGGACAAGATAAGCAGGCAAAGGCACAGACAATCATGGAATCCATTACTGGAGTTCCAGAGCTCGACAGAAGTGCTCAAGAGACTATCCGCGATTATCTCTTGGAGAACGTCGAGGAGTTTCGCCGTCTCCATGAGATGAGAAGAAAGGTATGTCTGTAGCAAAGATACTGAGCAAGGAGAATGGCCTAATGAGAAAGATAGGGCTGGGAGACAAGTCAAGGCGATGCTCACTTCAAGAAACAACGAGCAGTCGCAGATAAATGTAGCGCGAACAGTACACAGTTCTTCTACACCATGATGAAGACGATCGCAATTGACCTCGACAAGGCAACGGGTGCTCTGAACATGTCCAAGGTCGAACAGCCGGCCTTGCTGGACATGTGCGTAGCTCCAGGTGGCTTCGTTGACGTAGCTTGGGCCAAGACACCTGGTATTCACATCAGGGCCATGAGCTTACCCGTTGAGCAAGGTGGACACGACGTCAAGATGCTCGATGCACAAGTGGATGTGGAGTTTCGCGACATTACAACGCTGGCAGCTGATATGGGTATTACCAAGAACGATGTTCCGTTGAACTTTCCAGGACCATATAACTTCCTATTCGAAAAGGTCTTCGACGATACCGAGAAGTTTGATCTTGTCTTCTGCGATGGCCAAGTCCTGCGTACTCACCCCCGTGCGGAATGGCGAGAGCCCCGAGAAGCTACGCGTCTAGCTCTCACGCAGATCGCCCTCGGTCTTGAACATCTGAAGAACGGCGGGACGATGGTGATTCTGATGCACAAGCTCGACAGTTGGCGAAGTTTCGACTTGATCCACCAATTCAGCAAAATGGCAACCGTCAAACTGTACAAGCACTACAGGCACCACAAGATCAGATCTTCATTTTATCTTGTCGCAAAGAATATCCAAGCCGAAAGTGCCTTTGCGAAGGAGATGGTTGCCTTGTGGAAACGGACATACAAGATTGCGACGTTTGGTACTGATGAGGAGTACGCTGAGATGCATCGAGTCACTAGAGAGACTGCGCTGGTAGAGCTTGGGAAGTTTGGGGAGAAATATGTTGCAATGGGGGAGAAGATTTGGAAGACTCAGGCTGATGGATTGGAGAAAGCGCCCTTTTTGAAGAAATACACGAAGCAGAAGAGCAAGCGCAGGACATGGGAATGAGGTGCTGATGAGAGATGGTTTTAATACGGGAGACATGCTTTTGACATTAATCAGCAAGGCCTCAATACTTTGAGCCGTCATCGGGAGTGTCAAGAAAGTGGCTTCATGCGAGGACAAGTAGAGGCTCTCGTTGCATTTCCGACTGCATGTGCCAGCAAGGGTACCAAACAAGATTACCATAACAGTACGATCAGATAAGATAATCTCTCAAGTGACCAAAGATCGCGGATCCTTAGGATATTTGGCAGCTGACTAGTCCTGCGTCTCTAACATGAGAGGCAGGGATCAGCAAAGCGACTCCGAGTTCGCCCTCATGTAGCTTTCAACGCAGTTATTTAAACACAGTTCTCACCTTCATACATCTATTAAATAAAACATCATTTCTATCTATTGCACAATTAAAATGGCCGAATATAGACATTATGCAACACCCCATCCCGAATGGGTCGATGTACGCTAAGTCATGTGCAAACTTCATGATATTGTTACTGACCCCATCAGTTCCCAAACAATCTCCCCCCAGGCACAAAACCAAGCTTGGGTATGACCAGAGACCATGATCCAATTATTCCACAGGAAGGCCTCGATATTTACGAAATAAATGTCCCTGTGCGTGATAACAAGTCTATCACACTGCGCATCTACCGTCAAACTGCTCACAACGATGCCCTCCCTCTGTTTCTCTACATGCACGGCGGTGGGTATGTCACGGGTGGCCTTGAAACAGACGACGTAACATGCAGAGCAATTGCGTTGGAAGTTCCTGTCCTTGTTGCAAGTGTCGAGTATCGACTTGCTCCTGAACACAAGTTCCCCGTTGGCTTTGAAGATAGCTTCGATGTCGTCCGATGGGTAAGATATAGCGCCGCCAAACTACCGCCAGTACCGCCAGCTAACATTCTGTGCAGGCTGCATCGCCAGAAGGCCAGACCACACTCAACACAGACTTATCCAGGGGCTTTATTCTCGGTGGCACATCTGCTGGCGCCAATTTCACTGCCGGAATATCGCACTTAGCTCGTGATGAGGGCCTCATTCCCGGAATCACAGGCATCGTGTTCCTCGCTGGGAGCTTCTGTCATCCAGATGTGAGACCAAAGAAATATCTGGATCGTATTCTGAGCGTGGACGAGATCGATGATGCACCTGGCCTCACGCGAAAGTCAATTGACTACTTTGCAGGCACATTACTCTCTGACAATGCTTTTCACTCAATACTGATCATGCAACAGGACTATATGGCGCTCCCCCAACAGACAAGCGACTGTCCCCTCTTCTCTTCGATTCCCATGCCGGTATAGCAAAGAAAGCATACTTTGCAATTTGCGGTTGGGATCCACGTCGGGATGAAGCTATTCTTCTCGATCAATTGCTACAAGAAGTCGGGCTGTCAACCAAGTCACACATCTACTCGGGGCTGCCTCACGGCTTCTGGACGACTTGCCCTGACTTGCCTCTTTCCAAGAAGTGGCTGCAGGATCTCCTTCAGGGTGTGCGCTGGTTATTAGAGTAGAGGTAAGCAAAAGTATAACGACGACGACGGGCAAAAGACAAAACACACTCAATTTGTTCCAAATCACTTAATGAGTACTATCATACATTCTGCCCTTCATTTGCTTTCCAGTGTAGCCTTTGAAATTTCCCAAACCAAGCCCAATATTCTTTTCCACAATTTCCGAAACAAAGATATTAATATCCTACATTTTCAGCTTCTCCATCTCCTCAGAGAGAATGCCCTCCTCCACAACCTTGACTTTAACCTTCATTCCCCAAGGCTCATCATCTCCAATCCAGTTCTTCTTCTTTCCAATCTTTTCCACATCACTAGCTGCCTCCTTGACAGTTTCCTTTGTTCTTGCTGGGTCATCGTTGGTTTTCTGTACAGAGATTGTGAGCAGAAGACCTTCCTTATTCTTCTTCTTGCCCAAAGTGTACGACCACTGAGAGGTGAACACCACGCGTGGCTTCGACTTGTGGATCTTACCGGCTGGGTAGAGCGCGGTGATGAGTTGTCCGACCCTGCCGAGGTAAGATGCCCACCAGACTTCCTCAGGCGTGAGCATGTCACGAAGTGACTCACGGAACTCGAGCTCACGGGGAGGAAGTTCACCACCATATCTGGACTCAAGCATCAAGGCCAACCTTGCTCGATCTTGATGCGAAACACCGTGGATCGCAGACATGTTTCCAACACTGGTTGAGTACAAAGCCGTCGTTGAGGCCGTCTCCTTACTCATGAACATGTGCAGATACATCGAATTGGCGAAGGAGTCAACAACAGGCTCGCCGAACTCCTCTGGGAACTCCTTCTTCTTAGAAGGTTTCGGGATTGCGTTCTTGAGTAATTGCTGAATGAGGTGTCGCGAACCCGGGGCACAGTAGCCTGTGGCAACCTCTAGGGGAGACTGAGCTCGAATAGATGGTGAAAGCTGGCGGAAGAGGAAGCCTTCTCTGACACCGCCCTGACAAAAGTGTGCCTCTCTGATACCTCCAGGAATGGACTCTGAAAGAACATTGACAAGGAACGCGACCGCGGGAACCTGGGATCTTCGACGATCGGAAACACGGAAAATGTCTTTCGCAGCATGAGCGACATGTTTGAGAGCCTCGGTGTCCTCAAACTGTTTGCGCTTGGCAGTGTATCCATTGATAATGGAAATGGGATAGTAGCTGCCATCGGTCTGATTCAGGTACAGGAGCAAATATCCCCATCCTCTGAAACCACCTCCGGAGAGATAAATACGGTACCCGCCTTCCTTCTCAGCCTTCTCAGTCATCTCGGCGGGGATCTGCAGATTGTTGTATGCGTCCTTGAAGTTGGCGATCATTTCCTTCTCGAAAGCCTTGACAGCTGCATCGGCTTCATCCTTCTTCTTACCGTCACGAAGATCGTGAAGCTTCTTGGTCAAAGCAGCAGCTCCATATGGGAAGCTGAAGCTGCCTTTGGGACTCATGCGAACCTGACCGCCCGAGCTGAGCATCCAGGTAATCTGGGTGCTGCCACCGCCAAGGTCCATCACAAGGCCTTCCATGTTAGAGAAGCCACTGGCGATGCCGAGGGCACCGATCTGGCCCTCTTCCTCTTTAGGTAGGAGCTCAACTGTCAGACCAGTCTTGTCTTTGATAGCAGCCAAGAACTGCTTCGAGTTGAGTGCAGCGCGGGTGGCTTCGGTCGCGATAACATGGATATTCTCCTTCTTACAGCGGAAGTCGCTGCAAATCACAACGAATCGACTCAAGACTGAAACGACAGACTCGATGATATCGTCGGGAATGGGAATCTGATCTCCAGTCTCGGGATCATATTGAGAGTCGTAAAGAGAAATGGAGGCGCGATACTGGTAAACGGTAGGAAGCATACGAGCCAATGGGTTCGAAAGGTCGGAAATCGAGAGACGAATTCCATTGCTGGTGATGGCACCACTCGTCAGTTTCTTTGTTGCAGTTGATGAATTGTCTCTATTTTCTCACCTGCCCATGTCAACAACACCGACTAGCTTACCCTCATGGCCCTGCCATGGGGGATGACCGCCCTGAAGATGCGCGTACGGCGGCTGGGCATCCTCATCGTCGCTGCTCTCATGGCCAAACTCGGCGATTGGGTCGATGACTTCAAAGTCGGAGAAATCCATCACGAGCTGTCTTTGTTGTGGAGGTGAAAATGCCCGTTTGTCCTTGATGACGTTGGCAGTCCGGGTGAAATGCAGAGCTCCCCAGTATTTAAGGTGGTCGGGGGCCTCTATTTCAGGAGCTTCCCGTCATCAGAAGGGAAGCTAACGCCCTGCGGCGGGTTTCAGCTCTGATGGGATTGCCCTGACGTACGCCAACCTTAAATGAGCTTGTCCGGAAATCGAGCCAGTTACGATTGAGCAGCGACTCCGATGGCAGCACAAGCTACGTGATTGAATCAAGTCATTGGCCGGGGTAGAGATAAGCACGAGATCGGAGACCTTATCTTGACGGATTGAGATCTTGACCGTTGTTCAATCAACGACTCTACAAACGGTGAGGCAACAAGATTAATAGGCACAGAATTAAACCTCAAATCGACAATTTACTTCAATTGCTAAGTACGAACAAGATCAATTGCTGAAAAGAAATACTACGATCTGTAACAGACCCAGCTACTTAGCTATAAGCTTATAATCTCCGTCCTAAAGTGGCGAAATATTTAAGTAAGTTTATCCTATACTTATGAGTTTCTTTAACACTAGAATATCGTAATTTCCTGTTCTTTTATTCCCCAACGAAATTTGCAATGCAATGAACCTTTCAGAATGTTCAGCTGTTCTGTCGAAAGTATTGTCTAATGAATGTTAACGGAGGCACTGAGCTGCTTCAACAACATATCAATGATTGCCCACATCGGCAGAAATGGCTTCCTGTCTCTGCTTGTTTTCTCTTTGTAAAAATAAATTGCCTCTTTTTAATAATTGATATAAGGGGTAATTCAGACCTATTGAGCAAGCATCATGCCAGGCCACTTGATTTGATTGTGATTCACTGTCATTCCGTGGTAGGCATTATGTAAGTACCTAAGTAAGGTATGAACATGCTCAGATTTCATTGTATTCTCTTTTGCATTTTCCTTCCTTCCTCATTATCATTTAATCCTTATTCAACTCAACTGGATCTGTCGGCAAAAAGGATTCAAGCCTGCCAACTATTCGCGCTATCTGTCAAAGCGCAGGATTTGACTCGACTTCCAAGATCAGCCCATATCTCTTGACTGACTTCATGGAGAGTGATGAAGGCGTCATTGAACCTAGTGAAGAATCCAGTATTACGACGCAACCTGTCGACGACGTGGGAAATTCGACACAGGACCCTGGAGATGGAAGCAATGATCACGTTGATGCGACCGCCAACAGCAATATCTGGGAAAGTGAAGATCAAGATGGGGAGATTTCGGTGAAGAAGGCATCGTCGTATACCTCAATACCTCCATGGCATGACTGTAAGTTCATCTCATGGCGTCAAGATTAACTCGGTGACTAATTGTGAGTTCGCAATAGATCGCCAAACACGACGCACCGCGCGCTGGCCGTGTACCCGATATTACCTTAGGTATGGTAACACCTCTTCGAACACCAGAAGCATGCTGTGGGAGCCGCTATGCGGTCGCTTGCTGGTCCCCTCAAGGGCATGATGTTGGGAGACCCCCAGGGCTTAGCAAAACCCTGGTAGCGCTTGCCGTGGCTGCTTTATCCTGGGAGCTTGGAGATGGGCCTTCACTTATCGTTGCACCTCTCATGATGTAGCCAGTGGATGGCCGAGATTTATGCCTTCTTTGATGCGTTAAGGCTGGGCGCAAGGCAGACAAATATCAAGGACGGGTATCGGTCAACGTGAGACATGCCCACGGGCCCATCGTTGCCTTTTGGAGAATCCTTCCCCCCCTTCCCTTCACCCGTGGTAGTACCGGGTCGAGATCACTTCCTATTCAGATCTTACTGAGGAGGTGGACTGTGTCCCCAGGTTCCAGGATACCATCAAAGACTACAATTCATAGCTAACGATCTTCCCAAAGAGACTGAACCTGGTCCTCCGTCATGGCAGCCTGAAGTCCCGAGCCATGGAAGCCGATCGGAAAATGCATGATTCTTGACGATGCCCATACCATCAAGAACCGCAACACCCGCACATTTGCTGTCATCACTACACTCCGTGAACAATTCGAAGGTTGTCTAGCCTTGACAGGAACACCTCTAGACAACACATGGGAGGACGGTTATGCCCTCCCGAGTCTACTAGAAGGGCATCCATCACCGACTTAAAAGTATTGCAGAGAACATTCAAAGAACTTAAGAAAATGTCCCCTCAGCATCGCACGGGGAAATACATGACCTGACACATCCAGATGCTCGACGCTGCCAGCTTCTCAAACCCAATATCAACTATTCGAGATCGCCTTCCGCCTAGGACTGACACAGGCGACACTTTGCTCTCGACTCAAGTGACAGACACAAGTCCAATAAAGTATCATGGAACACGGACGACTCATCTTGTGAAGAGAAAATCATGAAGCAAGAAGGCGCGTGGCAAGGCCCCTCGACGCAACAAGACGATGCCGCAGGTTGGCCGTACCTCATCGAGGCCCAGCAGCATGCCTGCCATTCGATGCTAGTGCAGCTAAAGCTGGCCCACAGAGGTCTTATGGTTATGGAATCTATGAGACAGGAAGACGTGGATAATACCATTCCCGACGAAATGGACGACTAAGCTCTCGAGCAGGTTACCGAGTAGCGTCGGCAGCTGGAGCAAGGAGACAACTCTCTGTCACGACGTGTTGAGGCGATACTCGATACAATGCAACAGCATCTTGATCTTTGCCCCCACTACTCATTCATCATTGTCGATGAAAGCGTGTGGTTTTTGGATATCGTGGCGATTGCGCTCAAGAAGACCTATCATTCGGTCACCCACGATACATATAAAGGGCGACTCGACACAGTCCTGCGCCACTTAACCATCAAGAAGGTTGCCCAAGCTATGCCCCCGCATTCCCTACTGGCTAGTCGAGGTACAGGTGGTCAGGGACTCAGCATGCAATTCGCAAAGGTTGTTTTTCGATGCGGACCCTGGTGGAAGAAAGCGTGGGAGGAGCAAGCAACTGGACGAGTTCACCGACCAGGACCACAGAAGCCTACTTTTATCTACGAACTCAGAGCCTAGGGCTGCTGTGGAAAATTACAAGTCGGAGATCCGAGACAAGAAGAACATAATCAACACTCACATATTGTCTGCTATCGCTCAAAACTACGATGACGAGCATCATCAACAAGGCATTAGACTTCTTGGATTGGACCATGTGGGGGGTTAGGATCGAGGATCTGGGCGAGCCATAGATCTCATAAGAAGCATTTGATGCTGCCGATATGCTATGAACGTGCGGGACAAATGATGACATTGGTAAAGTTTGGGGTATTTTATCCTAAGGAAGGCCTGAATTATGACAACTTTCTCAAAGCTTGGAGGATTTCATCTCACATTATGATCATAGTTTGACCATGATCGTCTTTATACAGAATTGTATTCGGGGCATAATCGCTCGTAGCCTTCTGTTCGAATTTTCATGAGACAATGCTTCGTCGTCAGGCTTGCGAGTTCTTTTATTTCCTTTACCATGTAGCTTATACTATACCTTTACTTACCTGTCATGAACTCAAAGAGATGAGAGAGAAAGCGACCTGCGCCATGTAGTCCTTCTATCGTCCAGGTAACCCAAGCCTAGACAAGCAGTGCTTCTCTGCCCAGTCAAACATCTGATCCCGGAAACCCTTGTGCTTTTCCACAATAGGTGATGCATCAGCATAAGGATCCTCCTCCACAGCTTGAGCGATCCTCTTCGTCGTACCAAGAGGAACAACTTTCTGCAGCTCCAGATCCCAGAGCACTCTCACAACCCATCCTTGGCTAAACCCACTTGGAGTTTTATTCGCCGAAGCATTCACCTTTCGTTGATGTCGCGCTGATATCTCAGCGACGTAATAAAAGTAGTCGGCGTCCCAGCTTCTTAGTTCTCCACTCTCGATCACAAGTTCCCAGGGTCTGCGTTTCGTAGGACCACCCAAGGAATGGTAACATGTTGCGTACTCGGCGTCATCATCGGTGAGCATCAGAATCCAGTGGTTTGGTTCGCCTTCCACAGGATCTGTGCAAACTCCGATAGTCAGCTGTAGAAATTCTTCGGAAGAGGATCCCGGACATCCAGAGAATCTTCGGAAGGGCATTTCCTGAGTTGTGTTGTGGTGAGGGATAAGGCTCGGTCGACGAGTGTACGGTTGTAGGTGATATCGCCGATCGGATGAGGCTGATCTGAGGATGACAAGAGAAAGTAATTGTAACGAATGGGGGTTCGCTTTAAATATTTCATGCAGCTGTTTGACAGACTCTTTCCGTCTTGAACAATGACAATGCATCATCGAACATTCGACATCACTGAACAGGCGAGGAGGCTGTCTAGCCTTGTTCAGTGTCCCTGCACTCATGCTGAATATGAACACTCATTGAATACTTACCAATTGCTTGTCTCTTATTTCTGTGTAATTAGTTGTGTTTCATTACCTTTCAGCGAACGCGAAGACCCTTTCTAGAGCCCGGACATATAGTGGCGATATCCTCCAAATGCAGAATTTCAGATACAGTGTCCATTAGCTCGAAATACATGTCTTTAGCGACTGATCACTGGATTTCCTTTACCCTTCTTTTTGTTGTTCAGATAATCCAGATGGCTTGAGGGGTCTAGTGAAACTTCATTTAGCATCACCATGTTGTTTCTGTGATTAAGCCTCCTACGAGAATTACTTGACAGCAATATCGTGTTACATAAATACGCCAGTCAGATTTTCACATGAACAGACATCAAAATAAGCTATTTTCTTTGACTTGATGATGTTATTCCCGACTAAGGACTCGTGCTCGATAAAGGGCGTCTTGACAATCCACTAGTTTTCTCTTTTCTTTAGACAGAGTGGGCACAAACTCAACCTCTACCACAACCACAACCACAACCACCAACATAAAAATGCCCTCCAAAATTCTCATTCTTGACGGTGGCCTCGGCACCTCTCTCGAGTCCAAGTACTCTGTCACTTTCTCCCGTTCAACGCCGCTCTGGTCCTCTCATCTGCTTGTTTCTGACCAATCCACTCTCCAATCCTGTCAGAGCGATTTCGGAGCTGTCCCAGTTGACGTGCTCCTCACAGCGACATATCAAGTTTCGCTCCATGGTTTCGCCGACACTCGCACTGAGGATTTCCCCGAGGGTATCCCTCGTGAAACTGTTCCTCGGTTCTTGGATGATGCTGTTAGTATTGCTCAGCGTGCTGTGGGGGACAAGGGCTGTGTTGCTTTGAGCATTGGACCTTACGGAGCTTGCATGATTCCAGGTCAGGAGTACAGTGGGAAATACGATGCTGAGCACAACTCCTTGGCTGATTTGGAGGCATGGCACCGTGAGCGATTGGGCGTCTTCGCTGAGATTTCTGATATACAGAAGCGAGTGGGCTATGTTGCCCTCGAGACTATTCCCCGCGTTGACGAGATCATTGCCATGCGCAAAGCTCTCGCTGCGACACCAACACTGTCTAACCTCCCTTACTGGACGGCATGTCTCTCCCCTGAAAAAGATCTCAAAATGCCAGATGGCAACTCCATCGAAGCCGCCGTGGAAGCCATGCTGGATCCCGAGGTCTCATCCAAGTTACCGTGGGGTATCGGTATTAACTGCACCAAGGTCGACAAGCTTGACCAACTGCTTGAAATCTTTGAGCGCACTATCTCAGGCTTGATTGAGAGCGGCAAGATTACGGAGTGGCCTGCTCTGGTGCTGTATCCTGACGGAACAAATGGGGAGGTTTACAACACAACAACACAGAAATGGGAGATGCCAGACGGCGTTGAGACTCATAGACGCTCATCTTGGGAACGTCAACTTGAGACAGTCGTAAAGGCTACGGAGGATAGAGGAAAGTGGCCTGCCATCTTGGTCGGTGGATGCTGTAGGGCTGGGAGCGAAGATATCAAGAAACTTCGTGATTGTCTCGTGAAATAGAAGCTTCCATCAATGCCAAAATCACAACGGTATGAAAAAAGATTAAGATTTATTACATGTCTAACAAAACAAGATATGAAAGACGTCAAATCACCCCAAAGAAGCTACGTCAGGCAAGAAAAGTCAGAATTTCTATTCCAAGTGATGAAAGATTTAGGTAAAACTTAGGCAAACTTAGTATAGAGGTAGGATGCCTTCAAAATGGCTGTTTCAGAGCTCCTTAAGAAGAGGCTATGATTATCAGAGCATTAAGCTACTTGAGTTGCTTATGAACGTGGCAGACACTTGGACGTGACCTGGTAGGGGCAAACGAATACAGACAGCACAGTTTTGCATTTTCGTCTGAACTTTTCTATTAACTGCATTAGCTTACCCATTGATCTCTTGCTCCGGTTGATATTTCTTCTTCAGGTTTTTAACCCTTTCGTTAAGCTGGGGCTTTGCTCTCTTCACACGGCCACTTCAAGCAGTGCGAAACCTGGCACTTGGTAAATCTAGTCTTCTCCAATCGTATGAAGACTCTTTTTCTCTTTGTTCTCTCGCATTACCTGACATATATCACAGACGTACAGGTCCGTCGTCTTACAGAGAGGAGAAGGCATGAACCCTAAACTCTGCGCCTGAAAAGCATCAAATCTGTCAACATGGATCTCCATCACAGCGTAAGTGCTGTCGACTATCTTGCCATGAGACTTCTCTAATATCATAATTTAGCTGCTTCGTAAGAGATCCAAGTCCTTCCATACAACTTGTCAGGATACCGCCCAGTTCGCCCATCCAGTGCATGCGGAAACTGACCCATTGGATATCGATCGTCCAGGACATGTAACTCAAGATTCTACCACTATGTTGGCTTCTACTGGCGCTACTGCAGCAAACTCTGGTATTCTGCATCACGAAGAGAATGACCTCTCGCCCGAGGAACGAAGGGTCGAAGTATATACTCGCTCGATCATGCCGGCTCCAAACACCAAAGACGCTGCCACAAATGACTTATTCCCTTACCGCATGTCATTCTTTCACGATGAGCATCTCCATCGCTATGTCATTGGATCGGAGGAGGGCACAAATCAACCTGCCTTTGCTCAAACTGCCTCGAAAACGCTGTTTGTGTTCTATTGTAACGAGTGCGTTTTTGAACTATCAATTTATTGCGCCACGTTCTTCTCCCTCAACAAATCACAGATGCCCCAAATTCACGAAGTGCACTCAACACCTGGGAGATGATTGATTATGCCCACGGTGCCACCACCAAAGCGGAATTCCATTTTTGCTTCTAGGTGAAGGACCTGGTTGCACTCGCGGACAAGATGAAACTTGAGATCCATATGCATCTTCCCTGGAGAGACTTCGTCTCGCTTGCAAAGGCAATGGCTCCTTTGCGAGATGTTGGCTTCGAACTGTCGGTTACTTTTAATGAGGAAGAGTGGTCGGACATACCTTCGCAGTATCGAGACTTTCACAAGGCACTGGCAGTCAAGGCTATCACTGGGACTGAGCTGGATACCGCCAATCTTCAGTTTCAACAAGACATGCCAGAGTTTATTGCGGATCAGTTGACTGCTCGCGGTACCCATGGATATCGTCCCAACAAAAGGCGATGATATCCTTCCCTTGCTAATATATCCTAAGCATATCTCATGATATCCTTAGGCTATGATAAGTCTATCGCCAGGATGTGGGCTTGTGACCAAGGGAACAAACTGAGCGGTATAGCGTGCTTTGCATGCGAGCCTAATAGATCAGTTGCAAGCAAATCTTAGCCGCCGTTTCAGGTACAATGGAAAGGCTACTTCGGTTAACTCCGTGCTAGGATGCTATTCATATATCAGGATCTCTGTGTGACTTGTTTGTATCCAACCTCAACTACCCAAGCTTCGATCACGGCCAGTATCCCAACTTACTAATATCAGCACTTAAATCTCTTCCCTGCATCATCTCAGCCATAACTTTCGCCGTTCCCAACGACAAACTGATCCCCCATGGTCCATGCCCTGTCGCTACATAAACGCCACCATCACGTCCTTTCCGTGTCCTGTAGCCTTGTCGTAGATCCACATCCTCTATGCGTGTGATATAGGGTGTTCCTCGTTCTGGCACAGGTCTAAAGCATAACCCGGTCCGTATTACCTCCAGCTCATCACCCTCAGCTCTTATAATCTGCCGGGCCAGGTTCTTCAACTTCTCAAGTGGCGCATCCATGGGTTTCGCACCTGTTGGTAGTGGTGGTAGCTGCAAAGATGCGTTCACGCCACCGAGCCAGATATGTCCATTTGGTCGAGCATAAATCTCCGGTGAGAAGTCGTCCATGTTTGTATATACAGAGTGGTACGTATCGCCGATATCTGCGGGATTTCGTACAACAAGTGAGTGTCCTGCGAGCGGTACAACGGGTATGTTGATAGATGATCCGGGAAACATGGACTCCAAAACACTTGGGGTCCATGCCCCAGTACATACAAGTATTCGTGTAGCTGGAATATGTGTCTCAGAGGAGCAGTCTGTGTAGCCAATACGGACATATGATAGCTCATCATGGCAGTCGGCGCCCACGCTTAGAACAACGGCAGGGTTATGGATCCGTACACCCGCTGCTCGACACCTCTCAAGGAGAAACTGACATAGTTTTAGGGGGTCTCTACAAATATGGTTTGTCAGAATATATCGGTCTCATAAGACAGTGACTTACAGGACAGCTGTCCCTTCACCATTATCAACCAAGCTGAGAGCATCACCCTTGATACGTCTCAACCAAGGCGGGCTATTCCTGTCTTTAACCTCCCCTCTCTCTTCTACTACATCCGCACGACTCCCTCCATCACGTAGCCAATCCTGACCAGTCGAATCTTTGGGTTTGCTTCTTGGTAGCTCATAATTCACAGTCACTGACTTGGCGTACAACCATTTCTCCCTCCCATTAAACTCCTTTGCCAATTTCTCATGCTCATCAAAACTCAGTTCCCCCAGAGATGCAAGATCTTGATGGAACCACTCCCTCGCGAGAAATCCACCAGCATAGCCAGATGCCGAGGCGAATAGCGTTGCTGATGAGTCAACAAGGTGAATGCTTGAACCCGGTTGATGTTCTGAGAGATAATAAGCTGTCGCGATGCCAATGATGCCACCTCCAACAATCACCGTCGAGGCCATTGGGATCAAGTATTAGGATTAGAAATCTATTGTATAATTGAGAAAACGGAACAAGTCTCAGCTGATGCAGGCGGGCTATTACCAAGAAAGAACCGATGACGTGAGTGACGATGATACAGGGTAAACAAGATTGAAGCTCCAGAATTGACCCCACCATCATCACCACCAAGAATCCCCCCACTCTCTTGAGCTTCGAAAAGGTGACAAGTTACAGATACTCACCGAACATCAACAGTATCAGTCACACAGCAGATTTCTCAACATGAGCTCCAAAGTCTTCATTATCACTGGTGCCAGTAAGGGCATTGGCGCTGCCATTACCCGTTACCTGCTTGACCAATCCCACAAGGTTGTTATTACAGCTCGATCATCCGAACCATTGGAGGGGTTGAAGAAATCGCACCCGGAACAGGTCCAATTCATTGCTGGAGACATTGTCGAACCTCAGGTGTGTACCTAACCCAATTACAAGCTCAGGAGTTACGAGGCTGATGTTTGCTGTCTAGCTGCCTTCGAAGCTGGTTGACCTTGCTGTATCCTCGTTCGGCAAAATTGACGGTCTGGTTATCAACCATGGCATGTTGGCGCCTAAGAAGTTTGCAGACACCACGGTCGAAGAGTGGAAAAAGATTTATGACATCAACGTCTTCAGCGGTATTGCCTTGGTAAGGAGATCTTGACCAGGCCTCTTACGAGCATGAACAATACTGACAACCCCAGGCCCAAGCTGCGATCAAAGAGCTACGCAAGTCCAAAGGCTGTATTATTTGGGTGTCATCAGGAGCAGCAGCCAAGCAATATGCCGCGTGGTCAAGTTACGGTTCATCAAAGGCCGTCTACAATTCTGTCTCAGCTCACATTGCGCTTGAAGAGCCTGACGTAACAAGTGTTGCCATTGCACCAGGTCGAGTTGACACTGAGATGCAAGCTGTACTGAGATCGGAAGGCCAATCATCTATGAACAAGGCACAATACGATTCCTTCGTTGAAGCTAAAGAAAAGGGCATCTTGCTAAAGCCAGACCAGCCAGGAAATGTTATGGCCAAGTTTGTCGCAGACCCGCTCAAAGAGCTGAGCGGTAAATTCTTTTCGTACGTCTCACAACATATTATGACATCAAAGACTAACGATTATGCAGATGGAACTCACCAGAGGTCGAGGCATACCAAGAATAGGGTTTAGCTTAGGGATATTGGAAGAATCTGGATATCTCAAGCAGTGTTAGCTTTTATGTCTTTGCGTATGATTCAAGTAGATAAAAGATAGAAAGACAAATGCAAGTCAGTCGAAAGATGAAAAGCTCTTAGTTTGCTCCACATGGACATTCGGATTTAGCATGGAATGTAAGTTTCTTCATCATAGCATTTGATATTGGTAGTAGAAAGAAATAAAAGCGTGTTCTTACCTGGTGCTGATTTGTCGCATGCAACCGAGTTCAAAGACGTGATGCTCGAAGCAGCTGCCTTGTCGCATGTTAGTTCCATGTTCCAACATGTTGTCCAAAGCAAGCGTGCAGTCGAATGCGCTCAGGCTATCGTTTTTATCCGTCATGAGAGTCGGTATTTGATAGTACCAGATAGCAAAGTGCATCACGGCGTATCGAAGGGGTGTAAAGGTGCTGAAGGGAGTCTTACAGCATGGGTCAGAGAGTGCAGCCTAACTTTTAGTTGATTAGCCTCTGGTCCGGTAGCGTGGTTCAAGCTTTGAAACAAAGATGATTGGGATCAATCAGTTCTGTCCATTTGGCACAGGACGAAGTCAATCAGCACAGGAGGCTTGTCGAACCTCCTCAGCCTGGGGCGACAACATATCTCTTCATGCGAGTTGGTGGAGGGGGAACAAAGAGAGACTTACCCAAAAAAATTGGCGGCTGCACTCGAGTGAAAAGCAACGCACAAAGTGAGTGCTTCTGAGGTATAGCAAATTGGCAGACACTATTGGCGCCGCCTTGACAAAGCCGTTGCTCGATCTGAGCGTTGTGGCATGTTTGTAGAGAATGGAGAGAGAAAAGGAATGTGTTGATGAAGGAATTGGAAATTTTCAAAAGATGGAAGTTCTGAAATAGCTGCATAACTGGTCCGTGCACGACAAAAAGACGCGCCCCGTGTGGCTGGAAATGGAGACAGCCTCCACTGAAGCAAACCTCCAATTAACTTACAGCCCAGTCACAGCAGCCTTGGGACCTAAGGCTCCTCCACTGGCGCTCGAGGCACTGCCATGAATGAATTCCACTGAGCAAATGAAATTCCAGGTGGAGACTTGGCTACAAGCGCGGCGCAAAAAAAAAACAGCAGCAGCTCTTCAGATACAAAAGAGGCTTGCCCCACCACTCATGGGCCTGAGTAACCATCCCACCCCGTCTGTCTCCTTCTCAGCCTGACAAGCAAAAGTGAAGCTCATCATCAAGATCCAATATAAAACAACAGCACTCAAACAACAGCGAAACATACACGCTTCTCAACGGATACATACATCACTAGAAGGCCTCGTTTCTCCTCTCTACCCTTTTTTGTTACATTTTTTGCTTGTTGAGACTCTGTCTTCGCGTTGCACTCGGCCAGCCACCGTCTCTGAATAACCGCGTCTTTGGTGTATACTAGGTCATATTTCCAAAATACGCAGTCAACCGCAAACACCTTTCCATAACCACCCTGATTCACGGATTTTTGCTTCTTCAATATGTCTGATCACGAGTTTGGAGGCAAGTATTTTCTTTTTCCTTTTTCCTTATTTGTTCGTTTGTTCTTGTGTTTCTTTCTCGTCCTGTTTATACGCACCTTCCGTCTTAGTTCGCAACCCGTGATGACTATCACGACAATGCATCACTACCGGTTGGAAGTCACAGCATTGTGAACACCATTTACTCAACTTTTATTTGTATCAACCTCTACCGAGAAGTTTCTTATCATGTTCAATATCTTGAAACCCTTTTCATCACTATCGACACTTTACAATCATAGCACACTTTCGCATCTACTTTTCATCTCAAACTTCACTGTCTATCTCAAACACTCCCCTGATTCCATATTTCATATTACTATTTGTCTCTCGCGATGCCTTTGCCAGCGTCAACCAGATACTGGCTCCAATATGACAATGGAACACTCGGTCTGCTCTTCATGCCTGCTTCAAGATCCTGGACTAACAATTTTGACTTATAGGTAACGACGATTTGTCGCTCCCGAAAGGTATGTCGCATTGCTCCTCCCATTAAAAAGCCATTCACTAACTTAGTTACAGCTACTGTTCAAAAAATTGTATCTGAAATTCTTCCCCCATCGGCAGGCGTGGCATTCGCTAAAGAGGCTCGCGATCTCTTGATTGAATGCTGTGTCGAGTTCATTACCCTCATTTCATCAGAGGCGAACGAGATTTCTGAGAAGGAAGCAAAGAAGACTATCGCCTGCGATCACATCACGAAAGCTCTCGAGCAACTAGGCTTCACTGACATGGTCCCTGCTGTTCTCGAGGCAGCAGCTGAGCACAAGGAAGTTCAAAAGGTAAGCCCATAATTCCCCCTCAGCATATTCGGTAAAGACTAACAATGACCAGGGTCGAGAGAAGAAGGCAGACAAGTTTGCCAACAGTGGTATGTCCATGGAGGAACTCGCTCGTCTACAGGAGGAGCAGTTCGCAGCTGCTCGAGAGCGTCACGGTTAGGGGAAGCGCCAGGACTGAAGTACTGCAAATGGTGGAAACGGGCGTAAAGGAAATTTTTAGCATTGCTAGGCGTTGGTGTGCAGAATTGGACTGGGATTGAACTGCGCCTGAAATTTGTCATGGGGAGCGGGCGGATCGGCTTGCTCGTTATCACTTTCGCTTATATTCGCTTATAGACCTTTGACGAGGCGTTTGTCGTCAGGGAGGGACTGTCTGAATTACATCGTCTTCAACTTTAAATCTTGAATCGTTTCAAGCCTTGACAGCTGGTGCCTCACGATGGACAGGCTATGATGAGCGACTATGGAGGCCATACAGGCCGTACAAGCCATGAACAACAGCGATAGCATAATTCTTGCAACAAGATTAAAGTTGCGGAGAGTCAGTCATACCGAGATTGTGCAGAGTGTCTGAAATTGTACACATTTGTCCAGTCCATTCTCAGCTCCTCTCGTACGGGCCTTGACAGGCTTTAGTTTTCTATGTAAAGTGCACGCAGCAGCCTTGGCGTTTATTCAGATGACTGTGTCGATGATGACGTGATGTTAACATACGCACCCATCCTATCAGAAAGTCGTATTAGCAATGACATCTTGTCTAGGCTGCTACTCGTTTCTTTGTTGCCTTGAAGCATGCACGTATCTCACTTATATCCTTATCGATAAGGCCGCAAGCAAAAAATGATGTAAATCAGAATATCCCCCACCTTGACGCCTGCCTCACGTTGTTCCCACCCTGCATTCTGCATGCATGCGCAATCAGCATCACTTGAAGAAGCAGCATTATTTTTGCTTCCATTGTCGTCAAAATAGGTCGAAGACGCAAAAACAAGAATAAGCCTGGACCGCGTGGCCCTCGCTGGCTCAATCGCAGAATGGGCCAGGAAGAGTCCTCTATGAGTTGTGGCGGGCCGCCCATTACACTTACTGAGCGAAGCCTTGATGCTGTCGCCGAGTATATCAAAACGGGTCGGAGCAAGCGAATTGTTGTCTTGACTGGCGCTGGTATCTCCACTGCTGCTGGAAGTGAGTAATTGAACTGACGTCAGAACTAAAAACATATCTAATAAAGCTATCAGTCCCCGACTTTCGATCGCCCGGAACAGGTCTTTATGCCAATCTTGCCCGCCTCAATCTGCCCTACGCCGAAGCCGTATTCGACATCTCTTACTTTCGCAATCACCCCGAGCCCTTCTATGTTCTAGCAAACGAACTATATCCAGGGAAATTTTTTCCGACCGTCTCCCATGCCTTCATCGCCCTTCTCGCCCGCAAGGGTCTTCTCCAGATGCTCTTCACACAGAACATCGATTGCCTTGAGCGCGTAGCTGGAGTACCTTCGGACAAGATCATTGAAGCCCATGGAAGCTTTGCGACACAGCGCTGCATCGAGTGCAAGGAGGAATACCCAGATGAGAAGATGAAGGAGCACGTCTTTGGAGGCAAGGTTCCCCATTGCGACAAGGAGGGCTGCAAGGGACTTGTCAAACCAGATATTGTATTCTTCGGTGAGGCTCTACCCAAGGCATTCGATAACAATACGTACCAAGTAGCCATGGCCGACCTAGTTTTGATCGTGGGTACCAGTCTCAGCGTTTACCCTTTCGCTGCTCTCCCAAGCATGGCGCAAGAGGGCAAGCCCCGCGTGCTTTTCAACATGGAAAAGGTGGGCCAAATTGGAACCCGATCTGATGATGTGATGGAGCTCGGCGATTGTGATGCCGGTATTCGCAAGCTTGCTGATGCGCTTGGCTGGCGAGACGAGCTTGAGAAGCTCTGGAGACAGACCGTGGGTGATGCTGAGGCAGATCGACAGCTTGGCGGTAGAGAGAAGGATGACGTACAAGATGAGGTTGAGCGCTTGGCCGCCGAAGTTGGCGCTGTCGTTATTGACGAGAGCGACGAAGGCGTGCCATTGGGGAAAGAGCCCACGAAGCACAAGGATGGTCCCACTGTCTCGGAAAAGCCAAAGGACGAAGCCAAACAACGAGAACCAGAAACAGCTACAGCTATTACAGATCTGGAAAATGATATCAAGGAGGCGCCCAAGAGCCAACAACCTAAACTAGATCGAGCCCATGTTGAGCAGCTGGAAGCCGAAGCAAGCAAGACAGAGTCTTTAGTCACGGAGCCCCCCAAGCCGCAAACCCCTGAAGAAGAGCCACCAAAGGCAGAGGCATCAAAGATCGAGGCTAAAACAGGAGGAACTGTACCAGAATCTCTCAGTAACAAGGAGAAGTAGTTACTCCTTAAGTACTATGAGTACAGATGGGGCGTTCTAACAGTTAACGGTGTACGAAAACGGGGCCGGTGTAAAAGGTTGCAACTTCCTGCCCGCTATAACCTGATGGCAGATGACTAGACGAGTTTATTTATGTTGATCACGATGAAATTCAATAGGGTACGGTTACATAGATAGTCCGCATTGGCTAGATCAATGCGAGAGTCAGTCTAATGAAAGAATTGGTTTATCATCACCATGCTACTAAGTTCTGTATTACTTGACATATGCTGTAGCTTTTACTATAGAGGATCCTTATATAGGAGAATATACCATCAGACTGGCCCTGATCTCATATCTCATCATACTCATCATACAGATCGACACCAACTCTAAGATCTTAAACAATGACAAAAGACGAAGAGAAGACCCGGGCCCTCGGGGAGCAAGAAAACATAAGACTTTGGAAGAGGATGCCAAAATCAACTCAGTAAAGTCTCCCCTAAGCTGAGGCCAAATTGCCTAAGCCTTTTCATCCCTTAGGATAAAGGTCCGAAGTCTTCTTGCCCCCCACCCCACTCTTCCCTAGGATCACGTTTGCTTACAATCCACTGTCGATTTGTGCTGGGATATTGGAAAGTGTCCAGTGTCCCCATTGCCGACACGTCTCAGCCACTACGTTCGGTATACGTAGTTTCTTGACTTGATCTGGATTCGTGAGAAACTGCGTGAGAAATCCTGCCGAGACGTGCCACGCGATGTGGCAATGGAACGGCCATACACCTATGAGCAAATGCATGTCAGCACGATGCAACCGTGACCGCAGAAAGGGGTGATTATCATAAGGCTGAGTGAGTCAGGGAAGGTAGACGTACCCGGATTTTCTCCGGCATCGAACTGTATTACGAGATGACCATTGCCCCGAATCTGGACGACGTCGCGACGCTGTGGATTGTGTCTGTTTATGATTGTTCCATCCCAGGAACCTGGCCCTTCATGTAGGACATACATGTTGAAGCCGTGTAAGTGCATTGGATGTCTAAGCAGAAATCATTGTTAGCAACTGCAAGAAGCCGCATTCATTTGATTGAGTACTCACGCCACGGGAGTCTTGTTATTGACGACCACTCTCACGCTCTTTGCCTTTCCGGTATTTATCACGTTCCATTCAGGCTCGAATGTGTGATTGCCAAGTTTGCTGAGGAGCAGAGTTGGACTGTTGTAGTTTGTCCTTGCAGCCACTCCTCCTAATGTCCAGAGTGTGACATTGCTTGCATTTTTGAATGAGCTGATATCAAGCTCAATAGTCTTGTCAGCTGGAGGCAAAGGTAGCTTCATCACTGGCTTTGTTATACTCAAATCATCGTTGGCGCAAGTCTCTGGATCTGGGATGTCCCAAGCCTGTGATTTGGGTGCTTTTTTCTGATTTGCATTGTCGTAGTAGATTGCCGCAAGGGCAGCTGGGGCGCGACCCAGACTACAGATGGCAGAAATGTTGCTGCGCATCCAGTATGAGTCCAATTTGCCGTTAGCTCTGACCAGTACATCTGTGCGTTGGCCAACTCCAAGAGTTACAACTTTGGTGTCATACGGCTGTACTGGAACAAAATCATTGGCAATGACCTTCATTGTGTGACCATCAATGGAAAATCGTTGTATGGCTTCGGCACTTGGGTTGATGAGGCGTAAGCGGTGGACTTTACCGCGCTTGAAGCGAAATTTGGAGATGCCAGCGTTGCTTTTGCAGGGCGTCTTGTCTCCTGGTGCCACACTGGAGCAGTTGAAGTTCATCTTTCCGTTGATGAGATTGCTGTCGGAAAGAACAACACCATTGCCACCGGGTTTCATAATCTCCTCAACAAGGTCGAAATACTCTTTATGGTACCAATCACTCAACATGACAGGTCCAATATCGATGTCATAGTCTTTCTTTTCTCGTGGTCCGTATATGACCAATGGACCAAATAAACCAGCAGCAACTTGGGCGGAATAATGAGAGTGGTACCAACTTGTTCCATAGAGGTCGGCCAGGAACTGATACGTGAAACTCTTTTTAGGTGGGATCGGGCATTGGGTTACACCCGGAACGCCATCTTCCCACGGCATTCCCTTCTGAAGGATACCATGCCAATGCAAAGAGACACCCTCATCGTCCAAGTCGTTATGAACAGTGACTTGGATGGTGTCACCCCAATTTGCTTCAATCAGAGGCGCAGGAAATTGCCCGTTCACGAGGATTGTGGACAGCTCATAGCCGTCAGGGGCGATCGTCCCCCGACTGACAGTGAAGTCGTACCTCCTAATGACTCCGGTATTTGGTTGGTCCTGATAGTAATTTGTTTGGGAATTCATGGTACTCCAAGGATAGCCATTGGGAGTAGGGTTGTCAGTGAGGAAAGTTGGCAGGTCAGGTGCATCAAATGTGCCATACGACGACTCCCTATTAATAGATTAGTTCGTGCATATAGATGTTCGGAAGCATACTGCCTCACCCATTAGTCTGCAACTGGGACAATTGTCCCAGGTCCCCGAGATTGAATGGACTGCTATTAGTATTGCCCATACTGCACAGCGGATTTGGAGTCTCTATGGAGGGAGGATGCTGAGATATGCCATCTTCTCACAGGAACCAACACTGGTCTATATAGCCAAGAGGGGCGTGTTGATGAGCTCAGTCCATCTGCAGAGTAAACTTCTATCTTAGGACAAGACATGTGCCGAAGACCCGCGGGATCAAGCCTCATCTGCGAGAAACGGGCGATCGCATACGGGTCAACCTT